CCAGCACCGATGGGGATGGGTGAAGCCTTGGTGGGTGCTCAGAGCGTCGCCACACCCCAAGGTGAAGTTACTCATAGTGTGCATCTACAGCAAGTGGCTGTGGCGCTGCCTTCTGAAGTGAATTTTTACTGGTTTTTTAAATGTGGTCATTCAGTCACGTGCGTAACCTCAGGATACCACCCAGAGAGGGGAGGCAAACAGCCGGCGAGGGGAAAGGCGAGCGATGGTGAGGAGAGTGATGACCCAGGAGGTGCCTTCCCACCGGGCTGCCTGCCCCACGTCCTTCTCCCTGGCCCCCTTTCCTTTCCTATCTCTTTGCAGCGCGATCTGCAAGGCATGATGTGCAAAACCTAAATTATCCCCAGTCTAAACAATTTATAAAAGCCCCAGACCTGACGGACTTTGACATTTTATTTGGTATTTTAACAGCCCTATATAAAGGTACACCATATGCAGCCAGAGTGCAGGCTTGCCCCAATAAACATTGTTGGAGCTCACATGTCTCCTTAAAGAAACTGTTTATTCGCTTTCCAGTCCAAATACTAATGGATTCGGTCCATTTTCCAAAATCAAGATAGAAATAAATATTTTAGAACCAGCATTGTACATGATTTTTAAAATTCCAAATTGTGTTTGAACTTGAGAATTTTCTTTCTGTATATTCATCTTATTGCAGTCAAAATATGTTAGTTAGATGTTTGGAGAGGGATACATATGTTTATGTATATGTATATGGAGATATAGAATATATAAATACATAAATGATGGCGTCCTGAGGTGAAATGCAGTACTATAGCTCCGACCCAATCGAATGCAGTTACTAAACTTCCATATTCAGACACTGAAATCATTACCCAGGTGCTACACAAAACGTAAAAAATTTGAGATCTGAGATCAAGGACAGGATCCATCATGCAGCATCCTGTTGTGCTTCCTTTCTGATGGGTACTTCACCCCCTTTAAGCTCTTTGGGCACATTAGGATTCAATACATAACTCTGTGTTACTCTCACCCAACAGGACTAATGAAAGTAAATCAGGATTTTTTTAGCCAGTTTTTACCTTTGGCAACTGCAGGACATGCATTGGTCTCTCAAGCAAGACAAAAGCAAGTTTTGATAAGAATAGTGAGATATGCCCTGTGTGCTGTTGACACGAGCAGGGTCCGCTGCAGAGTCTTTACCACTAACTGTACATTTCTGGGGTCTTTCCACTGTGTGAATGCTCTTGGTTGTTAATGTTCTTGTGATGGACAGCTGAAAAGAATCATCAGTGACTGCAAGATCTTGGTTGCTACTAGTATTGCAACAGTCCTTTAAAAAGTATTTTAATTTTAGTACTAGTTTGTAGTTTACTGTAAAATTATTGTTGATTCTAATAGAATCTTTATCTACAGTACAGAGAATTGAAGCAGTCTCATGCAACCTGCAGTTGAGACATAAGAAAGGTAATTGTTCAATAGATATTCCAAGTAGTTGGCTTATACCAAATTGTAAAGAAAATAAGAATGGAAAGGATTTACTGTAAAAGAGAATTGAGAATACTCACACCATTCCTGATAGGTGTTTATCTAACCTGCTCCTGTACTTACAGCATGAAGCCCGGTGACTTACATGCCAACCATGCCAACTATATAAACTAACCATGCCAACTGTATGAACTAACAATCTGCATGCAGTGTTCACAATTTAAGAGTATGGAAAGGTTATTAAGGCCTGAGTGACAAAACAAAAGCATGCTGGCAGGAGTTCTGGAAATGCACCGATCCTGACATTAGCTGTATTGGCAGAGTCCTCCTGTGTTTTTCACTGCATCCACACAATGCTGGGTTTTGCTGGCAAGTTGCTCCCAATACCCTCATATGGTAAATGACATTTGGCAGTGTATTCCGAGGTTTTCTGTGTGGTATTTAGGGTGAGACTGTAGGTAGCTCTAAGGTTTTAGCCCCACAGATCTATATGTTCTGATTTACCCTTATGACTCTACATGTTGCTTTTCCATCTTGCTGACATTTTTCCTCTCGAAGCATACATGCTGCATCGATCAGCTATTTCCAGTATAGGGAAAGTGCCTATTGTGTGAAGATCTGAGGAGAAGTGGGTGAAGCTCTCCACTTCCACGTGCATTCATTGAGCGAATATGCCTGTGAAGCAACCATTTGGGGCCTGTGCTGTGAGCATTGAGTGGGAGGATGAAGCTTTGATGGGAATCTGGAATGATCTTTTGCAACTTCAGAATCTTTGGATGACAAAAAAGTGCCTTCCAAGAATTGTGTGTAAGCTATGACAACTCTGCAACATGTAAACACTAAGATGAGAGCAGCAGAGAAACGCTGTAGTTTTTCCCTGGAACTTTACCACCATGGAGTGCTATCAAGTGGTGCATTGTCAGTTTGGTGTCATCGTGAGAAAAAAAAGTAAATTATGAGGCAGGACATACTGTTTTGTTCTGAAATCCTACAGTTCTCTCAGAAGAGCTGCGTGTCCTCAAGTTCACAGCGACAGACTTACAATACACAGCAAGGACTTCCCACAGGGCAGTGTTCCAGACTGCAGGAGGGGAAAGGAGGTGGATTATCTACTCTCTGCACTGCAGAATCACAGATGCCTTTTCTGAAACAGCCACAGCAACATTAGGATAATCTCAGAGTAAAACTATCTAGCATAGACAAAGTCTGAGACAAGAAGCCTCAGGAATGAAAAATGAAGTAATTTATTTAACAAAGTGCTTTTCTGACATGAGAATTATCGAATTTGTCAGTGTAGTTGAGTATGAGAAGCCCAGATATTTCCTACAGCTTGATGAATCAGTATCTATGCTTAAAAAATTCTATTTTTTTTTCCTAAAATTAAAATGAATGTTACAGCATATTTTATGGACATGCATTCAATTAATTTAAAAGATTAGTTATTTACAATACTGAAGACAAGTGTCTTCACTGCCTAACTAGAGTGTAGGAACTAACATAAATTGCCCTGTGGAGACTGACATTTAATAAGTCCATTTCAAGAAGGACAGGACATTTCAATTTCTTGCTTATTCCGTGGTCTCTACTGGTATCTCTTGCTAGTGCATAGAGTGATAGTAACAAGTTGGGAACTATAGGTGCCTGCTGCTCAGAAAAGTGTTGAGACTACAAAATAAATTATGAAAGTGTACGGAACAACTGAGAGATTCACTACAGAGCTGGGCATGCATCAAACTTGTACACAAGGCAAAAAGTTCTTTGTTTTGAATTTCCTGAGACTATCAGTCCCATTTCACACAGGTCTCATCCGTGAACAGCAACAGTTTGATCATCTGATTTGGACAATGTTCAAAAACTGACCAGGAGTTAAGAATTTTCCACTGTAGTTCAAACCCCTTGTGAGACATCAGATTTCTTTGATCTCTTTGACTAATATGGAAAGCATCAATAGAACAGTGCTAAGGATGTAAAAAATAGGGTTTACTGAAACCATGCTGCTGCCATAATAGTAAATTACTGTGGGGGTTTTTTTGGTTTTGTTTTTTCTGTGTTTTTTTGAGGGGGGAGTTGATTTGTCTATTTGATTTGTGGGTGGGTTTTTTTTTGTTTTTGTTTTCCACGGGAATAAATCTGGATGTTTTTTATTATATTGAACAATGAAAATTAAGAATTTTGGGAGTTTGTTTAATAGTACAATGAACAATCATTAAGATCCATTTGATACACTTTTGAGGTAATATTTAACAGACAATAAAGAATCACACCACTGAAACTGTAGTATGATAAATATGATACCATACTGAGTCAAATGCCATGGGTTTTTTTCACAGATTTATTTACATGTATGATGACTGTCCACTTATCAATATTACAATGAGAGATGAGCCTAAATATTGCATGAAGGTCACACTTTTTTGAGCTTTTTACAATCTAGGAAACCTGCAGATGCATGATGACATATTTAAGTTGAATGGAATCAGTGCCACAGCAAATGTGTCGAACTGTTTATCTACCCTTGCTCCTTTCTCATTTCCCCAACAGATTTATGTAGATGGCTTTTAATAATGTGCTAGCTGACCATAGCTTTAGAAGAGTGGGGTATACAGAACTGGATGGATATAATTCCACTGCAGTCATGAGCTGTATCCAATAAATAATTTTAATAGATAAATGAAGTCTTATGATATATTCCTTGGGACTTGGGGAAGAAATAGAGGTGGGGCCCTGCATATAATTTCTTGCATGCAGTGTAGCTTGTGAACTTGGAAGTAATTTTCTCTAGCCTCTACCTAATGACTGTGCCTTCAGAAAGAGGGCCCCGAAAGATCTGCATCTGGAGAGAAAACATCTTTTTCCTGGAAGTGTCTCTTAAGGGTCTCCATTGTCTCTTGCATTGCCACAGGAGAAGTATGTGGCAAGAGGAACACTCAGTGTCCCAGTCACTCTGCAATGAGACAGATTTCGGGAGAGTGTCGTCTAATGGCTTGGTGACACTAGGAGGTGTTGTCCTGCTCTGTTTTTCCATTTATTTCTCAGCACACTCTGGCTGCTTCCCTTGCGTCAACTCTGCTGCTCAGCTCAGGTCACCTTCTCTCTGTGCTACTTCACTCACAGGCAGCTCGGCACAAAGAGTCCCTGCCCTTGCCTGTGCCTGGCTGTCCTGCTGCTGCAGAACTGGATAGGTACAGAGGCTGTCCAAACACCACGTTTAGGCAGTTCTCAGAGGAAGATAAGGAGGGTTTCTGTATCTCTGGTCTCTCTTGAGTCTCAGATTTCATTTGTAACTCTTAGAGCTTGCAGAGAATCTCAGCTTTATATGATTCTATGATCGTATATTTCTATGGTTCTCTGATTCTGTGGTTGATTCTATGATTCTATGGTTCTTTCGGACTTAGCTTGCCAAATTATTGTTTTTCTCTGAAAGAATTTAGACTGCTGCTATTTCCATTTTTTAACCAAATTATTCATGCCAATGCTGCCAATGTTTTTTGTTCCATGTATTGGGTGTTTCTTAAATCAATAATACTACTTTTAAGAAGTACTACATAATAAGAACCTCTTTTTGCTATGGGAGATGACTGTCCATCTTCTTGGGCAAGTCAGTGCTGGAGCAGATTGGGGAATTACTGAAAATCCAAAGGAACACTTCTGAAATGTTTTTATTCAGCCTCAGATGACCCCATTCAGTACTATTATAAGCTGGAATTAATTATTTTAAGTACAGTACCCATAATAAGGATTTCTGTCTTGTTTACTTTGCATATCCTTTAAATATGTCAACGTTGTTGATGGCAACATTTTTTTCAGTGATAGAAATATATTAGTGCCATATATTTTTTATTTGACAAATTTGAAACAGAAGAGACCTACACAATAAAATCTCAAGAGCTGGTAGGATTTATATGGTTAATCCCTATTTAAAAAAAAAATGAATCAATTAAGAAGCAATTTTGTGAAAGAACACTCAAGAAAAAAGGCATGTAAGTTAAAAAATTGGTCTAAGACTGCCTTGAACATCCACTTCAGCTGAATTGAGTGAAGGACAAGCCCTTACTCTGCCTTATTATATGTATGCGTGCGTACACACACATATGCATGTGTAAAGTTGCCCTGCTGGTAGTTAGGGGTCATTTAACAGAATGAAAGCAATTGAAATGAGTTTCCTCCAAACCAGAATCTGATACATTCCTGGGATGGTTCTTTCTGATATGTCAGGTTGAATCAATACAAAATAAACCTCTTTGCTTGGTCATTGCTACTCTGGTGCCTTTATATAACCTGTGGATAACTTAAATTGAACTTGAAACTCTTATTCCAAATGATCGTGGTTGTTACTGTTCTCAAGGCCTTTGTCACACAGGGCTGTGGAGGAATCATCATACAGTAAATTGTACTACTCTACTGAATAATAAGATTTAGCTTAATCGACACCAGCACCAGCCCTATTCTTTTTCTTTTTGTCTTAAAAGTATTCTAGATAAAAATCACCCAGCTGCCTTTTGCAGCTCTATTTTGTTTTCTGCTATGTTTTCTTAGACCAAAACTAAAAAGTGAAGTAGCTTTCTAAAGACATAATAATAAAAAAAAAGAGCTGAAAAAAACCTGTCTCCCTAGTTCCACAATTTCCTCCCCCCGGTAAAGCTTCAGGCCAGCAAACTTCCACGCCTGCCTGAACAACACAAACCTCCACACATTTCCTCTGGTTACATACAAAAATCTCCTTTCCTTGGGAAGTGCTCTGTGCTCAGGTGCCTCCTGGACAGTGCTCTGGCAGGCTCTCACCTACCCTTGCTTCTACCTTCCTGTCTAACCCTCTGCACTGTAACACCCTCCCTCTGCCCTAAAAAACTTTCTGAGTGAGATGTGACAGCCACAGGAAGAGGAATTTTTTAATCTATGCCCACAAACAACATTTTTAACAATGCATAGTTTGTAAGAAACTGTAATGAAGGAATGCTTGTTTTACCAGTGTTAAAAATAGGATTGATAAAAGCCGTCAAACAAAGTCACCAGTGGAGTCTTTTAGATAGTTTGTATTCTTTGCTTTTACGAAGTTACAAAATTACAAAATTTCATATGGAACCCTCTCTTAGATAATTTATCCCAGCAATTTTGGTCATATTTATAGCTGAATGACTGTTATTATTTCATATATTAATACAACTATAATTACATGTGTGGTACACATCTTATCTCCATGATCACTCTGTTCTTGAAACACTTTGCTTCCTTTCCCAATATAGTTAACACCAGTTGTGGCTAAACAGGCCATCATGGTTGTATATAACTTAGCCTGCAAGCACCAACTTTTCATGTGTATTTTCTGGTACTGTTTTCTTAGACCTTTGGGAAAGTAGACAGAGAACTCTTTGTTTCCATTACAGAATTAAACACTTAATGTCAATTTCTGTGTTCTTGGCCTCTCCTAGCTTCCTCTGCAAGACAAAATGGTATTCCCTCAAGTCCATTACAGTTTTCTTGGCAAACCTATGTGCTGCTAATACTGCTCTGTTAAGTCATGGGTTCTTGTTCACTGCATTCGTAGACCCCCAGGGCCAGGTACGGGCTCCTGCTCCGGCAGTGTGAATAGCTTGTAAAGTTGTCCTAAACAGGTACCTGAGGATTGCCTTGTCCTTATATCACTCACTCTTATGCTTACCCTCCCATCGCTTGGGGTCATGCTACAGCGCAAGTGACACCAGTAAGGATGTGGTTATCTCCTTCGGGGTACCAGTTTCAGGGACGTAGTTGTAGGCAGCCAGGATTTTAAGTAGCCCTGCTGTTTGTTATTGTAGGAGTTAAC